AAGTACAAAAACTGTTGCTCATGGTTTTATTCAAAACTTTTTGAGGATAACCATATTGAGAGGTTAATTATATAGTTTAGAAATCGATGGCTCTGATACCACTTAATTGTCACGCTCCGGACCGCATCCGAGCCACGTAGACAACCGCCGTACAACCCGATAAGAACAACAACAGTTCATCCCTATTGAGTTGTACAAGGCGTCCGATTTATTCTATTGCCAAACCGATTAGTAAACACATACAATCAACATCAATATCATAATCAATAAAATGCGGAAAATAATAAAATGTTTGATACTTAGCCACACGTGGCAAACACGGGCACGCAGGCCCCCAACTGTTTTAATGAAAATATTGTTCAAAAATCCATGAGCGGTTTATACATTTGAAATAAGAATGGAAGCACGAACCACGTCTTCCTTCTCGATCAGTCACCCTAGGCAAAGGTGCAGGTAGTAGGACTCTAGCCTCAACCTGAAAAATGTGAGGCCCCCCGGAGGGGTCAGTACTCCATAGAAGTACTAGTGACAAGCAGGCTATATGAAGAATAACTAATGTTTCAGACACGAGACCCAAAAATAGGGTGATATATACATATAGATGTCCCTCATCCACCCGATGATACATACTGTATATATACTCGTAAAATACTCAACCCGTAGGTCATTTACCTTAAAGAGTCTTTTAGAGATAAAGTTCTTGCCTGACTTTTCTCACTCCTTTCCCGGTTACCTAGCTCACAAGCTATAGTCTACTTCGATTCGTACTACCGAGTGTTTTAGGATCATTTACCGTCCAAGGCACTCAACCCATCCTGGAGTATTTAAGATCATTTACCGTCCAAGGGTACTCGGCCCCACCTGGAGTATTCTGGATCATTTACCGTCCAAGGGTACTCGACCCCACCTGGAGTATTCTGGATCATTTACCGTCCAAGGGTACTCGACCCCACCTGGAGTATTCTGGATCATTTACCGTCCAAGGGTACTCGACCCCACCTGGAGTATTCTGGATCATTTACCGTCCAAGGGCACTCAATCCCCAGTCTATTCTCTACCAAATCCTAACCTGGATATGGCTAACCTTTCATTCCTTTAACTATGGACAATGCCTAGCCCTATAGTCATATAACAATCCTTAGGATCCAACGTGGGCGGGTCCCACCCGAACGGCCCACGTTAACCTACTCAAAACTGCCCGTTTTGAGCATAACCCAATACTCGATCGAGTATTAACCCATACTCGGTCGAGTACAGGATACAGTAGTCCACAAAGCTGATTTTCAACAAATACCCGGTCGGGTATGTGTCAATACCCGATCGGGTATGGCAGTTGACTTGGCGGTCAACGCCCCTTTTGACCCCCCAAACAGAGTCCGATTAACTTGAAATTTTATACACATATACTTCTTGATGTCCTTGATCCAAAAATACCATTTTGGATCCCTGGATCATCACACAAAATATGTTATCACATTTTTAATCACCAAACCTACATAACATGCTTTTTAACTATGTTTTGTGTATAATCATGGCATAAACACACACTTGGTTATCTTTAATCATTCCACAAAACATATTCCTGATTACTTTAGGTAATCTCATGCCTCACGCAAAAGTTATAAAGCATAAAGCCGTCTTCTCACCTTAATGAAGCTTATGAAGTTCTAGCCTCCCCGATTTAGCTCCGACGAAACTCCGGCGAACTTCAACGAACTCCGGCGACAACTCGGGCGACCTTTTCAACTCCGTGAAAGTTCCTTGAATACCTTAGACAAGTTACTAACAAGGTTTTATCATCATAAACCCATAGTAATACAAATAACCTCAAAAAGGTTATTTTCCGGCGAACCGGTCACTTTGGTTTCTAAGTCCGTTCTTGGACTTAGAACTACCTTTCAACCCCTCTTTCTACACATCCCAACGTGTAGAACATTACTAGGGTGTGAAATATGATTGAATAATCATAAAAGAGTATTGAAGAACAAGAAATAGGAGTAATGGAGTCATTACCTTGTTAAACACAAGTTTTCCCACCTAAACTCCTCTTTTCTCTTCTCTTTTCCCTTTCTTCTTCCTCCCTTAACTTGGTGCGTGTATGATGGATGAAAATGGTTTATTTGCAGAGCTCCTCTCACTTGGTTGATGCCTGATACAAAATGGGGTGGGTTGGTATGATTGAGAATGCCTTCTTGGCATTTCTCACAATCATGGCATGTGGGAGGCCCTACTCCATTTAATGCCTTTCCCCTCAACCCCTTCTCTTTCCCCTCCCCCTTCTCTTTGTGCGGCTCCCTTGGCATCTGCAGCACTAAAATCCGTGGGGTGGCCCCCACTCATGTGGGAGGTCATCCCTTTATGTCCCTAAGTGTAGAATCGGTCCCGAAAGTTGTATTTTCCGGACTGTTTTAAGTATATTTTATTTTATTGGGTCAAATAAAATATAACACTCGTTCCCAATCCTTATTGGGCCTTAGAATCATTATGAAATCCCCAACTTTAATTTATAGGTTCTCAGAATCCTTTTTTTTTTGGGCTGTTATCTGATAAATTGCCGATACCGATAATTTAGCCCGTTTGACCAACCGGTCACCCTTGTGCCATTGTCATGGCCCAATTAGGATATCCACCACCATATACATATTATCTAGTCCAAGATTAATATAATATGTGGTCCCGATAATATTGGGCGGCCCCACATCCGGTGTGGGCCCCACGTGAATTTTACTATTCACGTAATAGAAACGATAAAAATTTACAATCACGTAAAAATGCTTTTATACATTTCTCAAGGTTCAATACATAATTTGTTACAGTACAAATACTCGGGGGCGGTGTTACAACGTTACCTTCCAAGAAAGATGTTAATGACGGCTGCCAATTATCATCACTTTGTCACTACCGATCAAGATAAAGATGATTGTCTGCTATGGTTTATAATGGTGATCGACTCTCAAAATGACTACTCTGGAAGAATTGCAATCACAATCTACAACACACTACAATTAATATGATGAAAAGAATTCCCAATCCGAAAGAAGATGATCGATGAACTCCTAATTAGGGTTGAGCGCCGCAGACGACTATCTCATTCCTATTTTCATCGGCATTTAGTTTTTACTTTTTTTTTTGGAAAAAGATAACTTAATTCATATTAAAAACAAGATCCAAATACAAAATCATCATATCAAAAGCTGCACTGAGATGAGACTCAGAGTTGTAATCACGCATAAGAGCAGTCCAACTCGCTAACCCGCAATGTGGTAGACTCAACTAACATCAATGTTGCACCGGTGGTTTTACCAACCACCGGGAATGGAGAAGAGGGTTGTCTCTCCAAAAGAAGCATCCCAATTTTACCAGAAGGGAAACCCTGTGGAACGGCTAGTCCAGGCTAGACTAGTCGCCTCCTAGTCCTGGAGCCTGGATAGGGGGCGCGGCAGCGGGCTAGCGACGCAAGTCGAAAAGAGGCGTCATCGACCATGGCAGTATGTCAAATCCCTCTCCAATCGGTCAGCTTCTTGACGTTGTCTCTATGTTTCCCGTTTCATTCTCTTCCGTTCTTTCTTGAAATAATGGCATAGATATTAGTCCCACACTTTCAAAAGGCAAATATATGAGCGGTTTTTAATTTTCCAGAAATTTGACTTCTTTCAACCACTCTTTTCCGTCTCCCTCCTGCTCACATAACAGAGACCCTCCTGCGCACATAACAGAGAGCTTCTCTCTTCTACCATGTCCATCCCAGAAATCAACGATGGTGATGACCGGTGCCGACCACGTCACAGCTAGACTCGCTGCCAACTCTATCTTCGTCGCAGCCAAGCTCGCCGCCAACACTGCCTTCGTCTCAGCCCGGCTCGCCGCCACGCTGCCTTCGTCGCAGCCAGGATCACCGCCGATGTCTTTGTCACTGTTAATCCCTGCCTGCCGCCGTTGTCTTCGTCGAGGTCTGCACTCTTCTTCTTCTTCTTCTTCTTCTTCACCTTACTATGGCCGAAATCGATGGAGATGAACATATCTAGATCTGTTCGGAAACGACCTGCAGATCTGCAACCATCGTCGATCCTGCGGCTAGAGTTTGGGTACAAGTCCGACGGCTAGGGTTTCTGAGGCGGCGGATTGGTGCGACGGGTTGGCGGCATAGATTGGGGGGTTGAGCGGATGAAATAGCGGGCTGTGCTGGTTGAAGGGCTATGGGGGTGGTGGTGGTGGGAATCAATTGTGTAGGGATTGGTGGTGGTGCAGGGGTTGTGGCAGGCGGGTTAATCTGTGCTAGTCGGCCTTCCGGGTGGTGGTGGTGGTTGCCGGATAACTGGTGCGAGGTTGGTTAGGGACAGTTCAGGGGTTGGGCAGGGGGTGGGGGACAGGGGTTTGGGTGGTTGTGATGTGGGGAGGGGGTGGGGTAGGGAGCTGGGTGGGATCTGGTGCATATGGCAGAGGTGGGCAGGGATTGTGGTTAGGTGGGGGTTTGGTCTGTGCATAGGGGGCGCGGCATGAGCAGAGGTGGTGGCTCGGGAGTCGGGACTGTTGGGTTGCTGTTGGTGCCAGGTCGCCAAAAAAGAAGCCGGAAAATTTCATGACGGTTGCGTCACTGTGGCGGCGTCACTGTGGCTACAGTGACACAAGCAGCGACTATTGTGACACGAACGGTGGCCGCAGTGACATGGGCGGTGGCCGCAGTGACACGGGCGATGGCCACTGTGACACGGACGGTGGCGGTATGACATTTGATAGTGACATTAAAACAGAATAGTGACATTAAAATCTGGGAATGACATTAATATGACCTTTTTGATCACTTTTTTGTCCCTTTTTAAAAGTGCTCACTTTTTTGGTAATTGGTTCAAAATTAGTAATATTCAAATAAAAACCCCTTCTTTCTTTCTCTTTCTAGTACTAGTACTAGGTATTAAATATTTTTTGGTCCCTCAAAACTACGGGTCCTGTGAAAGTGGGCTGGTTGCCTCTGGCCAGGGCCGGCCCTAGCGAGAGTAGGGTGCTCCATATATTTTCTCTTATTACTATTACAATATTACCACTAGAGTTGTAGCACTAGAAATAAATGCACAGTAATAAACTAATAATAAAGGCTAATATTATTTCTCTATAAATTATAGTGACAATAAAGGCTAATGTTATTTTCCAATGTACCAAAAAAATATACGGAGTACTTCTATAAGGCTAATATTATTTTTTATTATGATGGTATTCCCAACGAAAAGAAGCAGGATAGGTACTCTCCTCAGCTGGCCAAGCATTTGGATTTTGGAGTGACCATCGTTGTAAAATTCGTCAAGAGTTAGCCGGGCCCACTTTAGTGGGGGCCTATGCTTAGACTGCTGAGATGTGATGACTCTTTGACATTCTGAATGGGGAAAAATAGGAAAAGAGAGTGAATGTGTATGCAAAATTCCCGAAATAGGAGTAAAAATGTTTGAGATTTCCAAAATAAAACTACCATATTTATATTCCCAAAATAGGAGTAGTTACTTTCAAGCTTGAAAAATACTGTCATGTTTAAAATCTGGTACTGCCAAAACATGACAATAATTACTCCTATTTTATGAATAAAAACATGATAATCATATTTTTGAATACACAAACACTTTTAGTCTTATTTAGGGTAATTTCCCATATAAGTAAGCTTTAGAAAAAGAAAGTCTTGTAATATGTAAAGCAGTTATTATAGTAGAGCTGGACAAAGGAGTCATTACATTTGAAACTTGAATCCAAAGATGAAGAACATCCAAAGCTCTGCCTGAGAGTAATGTTGTTCGAGCAAGACTCACTCCTTCACCCAAACTTTCTACAAGCCCACTGACAAAGAGAGCTCCAGCTGCATTTAACACCTGAAACCCACATTTTTTAAATTATTTGTAGAAAAAAGGAGAAGAGAGAAGTTTTCACACACCATAAATTGGTTACTTTTAGGGTGTGTTTGGATCTCAGAAACTGTTAGGGAAAGGATTTTGTTTTCTTATGTTTGGTTTTACCTTGAAAAATGAAAAGTAAAACAAAATAGGTAACTATTTAGACAAATAACATTTCATAGGTTTATACTTCTTAGAATTCTTTACATAGTAGAAATAAATTAGTCAATAAATAAATGAACAAGCTTGAGCAAATATGAAATATCTAAAATAAATTTTAGGGTTTTGAGCCTATCTTTTTAATTTTTATTTTCCCCAAAATTCTCCGTCATTCCAAAAATTTCTCTCTATTTTCTTTCCCTGCAATTTGTGTGATCCAAATGGACCTTTAGATTACATTGGTCCCCTAGGACATGACAAGTTGGAGAAATGATATTCAGCACCAAGTCACCAACTTGATCAGCTAACATTGTTCTTAATTGTATATCAATGGACATAACAGATGAAGGGATTCACCAATGCGTCACCAATTGGTCCGCTTTCGCCGCATAGAACTCGCTTAAGTGTCATAGCATTGTAGTCGGGGTATCCACCTTTCAAGCTCTCCAAAGTGCAGCGTGGAATGCCAAAATCCACTATCCAATGGTTACGTTAGTTTCTGGTCATTGTATTAATGAATATGATAACAGACGAGTCCTGACTGTGGGTTCTGTTTGGTAGCCATTTTCGGCTTAGGGCTACGTTTGGTGGGGATAATTTGGCTAAAATGGCTCAATTTGGTGAAAATTTGAAAAGTAAAAGCTTTACATCCATTCCATCCAAACAAGAGTCTGTTTAGTAGTCAAAAACTAGTTATTACGCTACTTCTGTCTGTCCTGTGGAAAAAGCCATAAATGGCTCTTAAATGGAGCCTCATTCTGCCTATTTGCAGAATAAGTAACTTTTTTGAGTTTATACTTTCTACTTCAGAACAGATTAGCCATCCACAAGCCATTTCAGCCAAACGATCCTTACCAAACTAATGCATAACGTTGTTGTATCAGAAACATAACATTGTTTTAGTAAATAGCAAGAGTAATATATATGACACCTTGCAAGAAAATGTGACTTCAGAGTGAATGGTGGGAAGATACTTACATGGGTCAAATGGGAATTTCTCAATCTTAGTTGGAGTAACATCAAGGATTGAGCCCCTTCCTGTTTCCATATAGCACTTTCATAAAAATAAAAAATAAAAGTTGACAAAACAAGAGTTTTACTTGCACATCTACAACTCATGCAAAGAGTGATACTATAAACTAATGTGTATTTTAGGCTTGAAAAAACAATCATGAATAGAATTGTACCAAGAGGACTCATCTCATCTAGGCCTTCTGAGTGAACTACCAATGCTCTTTTCATGCCAAAACGTTGAACTGCTTTAGCCATTTTGTAGACCTAAAATGCGAGAATTTATTCTTTCAGAAAAAAGGTGATCCATCCTTGCATAGAAGTCTTTTCACTCGGTTTATTTTTTTGTATGGGGGGCAAAGCTTTGCATGGAGTGCCAAAACTTCATATTTCAACATTTGTTGATAGTAACGAGTATTGGTGCACACATACATATACGAAAGGGGGAGCGGCGGGCCTAGCTCCGCCCCAGGGTGTTTACTTTTGAATATCACAATTATCCACCCCGTCAATTTATGTGAATTGAATAAGACACTATAGAACTTGTGACTTACACAGTGGAATATATATCAAGTATGGATGCTAGAAGGGGGAAAAAACTTCCATGGATTCACAACAAGTGTCACTTGGAGGACTTTTTAGGTTTACAGATTGGGTCGTTTTATAAAACCAAGACAATACTTGGCACTATTTTGCCATCATTTCCCCCTTTTAAAGACCTCTATGCAAATTTAATCACCAATAGTAATTACATGTTAGTAAGGGGGAGTATAATATTGTTTAATCTGCAAGATATCTTGTAAGATGACATTTATTCTGAGAGTATATATATAAAAAGAGGAAAGGAGAGAGGGCGTAGTAGGGAACTTACAAGGTTTTCTTTGCTGACTCCAATAACAGCAAAAGGAACTCTGGCTGGATTTAACATTGGGCCCAGGATATTAAATATTGTCTTGACTTTTAGTTTTTTCCTGACAGGACTAACAATCTTCATTGCTGGGTGGTAGATGGGGGACATCATAAATCCAATTCCTGCTTCATTTACACACTTTTTTACCCCCTGATTTTATTTGTAGTCATGATTAGAAAACTAGTCGCCCACCATATCTAACCAAAAAAACCATCATGGGGAATGAATTTTGTACTTTTGTCATGAACTTTTGTATAAAGATCCGATCTTTGCATTGTAATATGCCAAATAAAATGCTCCATCTGTCCCATTTTACAATCTTTACAATTTAATATAAGAAAATAAGACTTTCACATTTATAACGACAACAAAAGTTGTACAAAACAGGTAGCATGACAATTTAATTATAAAAGAATTGAAGTCAAGAAAGAAGATGCAATTTGACTCATGAATGGAGGTATGTATGTATGTATGCGACTATTGTAGCAAACGTCTTTTCATTTGAATTTTCCCATACATATGTATGTAAGTATGCATGTATGTATGTATGCGACTATGCGTGTATATATATGAGCTGAATAATACGAACCTCGGGGTCTAGCTCAATAGCAACCCCTAGAGCTTCCAGTACATCAGCACTTCCACAAGCAGATGAGCTTGACCTATTCCCTTGCTGCAAGGAAATCAAAGTAGCTTTGACTCCCATCAATTAACCCTTAGGGGCTACGTTTAGAAGGCAGGAAATGGAAGGGAAGGGGATAACTAAAGAGAATAAAATTTAATATTTGGTTTTACCTTGAACAAAATATGAAGGGAAATAAAATATGTCAGAACGCTCCGAAAATTTTCATCCATCTTTTATAATGGATATACATAAATAAAAATGAGTTTGAACACATATCTAACTTTACCCGGTTCCAAACCACTGTTAACTAGGGAAAGAAAGAAAGAAAGAACATCGCTAAATGTTCTATTAAGGGGGAAAGGGGATTGGTCAGACCTTAGCAACTTTGGCACCACAAGCAGCAGCAAGAATGGAAGCGCCAGTTGAGATGTTTACAGTGTTTGCGCCATCACCTCCTGTGCCAACAATGTCAACAACTGCGCCTTCTAATCCTTCAACTCTTCTACACTGTTTTATCATAGCCCTTGCCATTCCCACCACCTAACCCCATCGTTTACTACCAAAGCATTAGTCTTCCAGCACAACAGTTATAGTATGACTACCATATCCTCATAATGTAAATCACTGCATATGGACGCCTATGTTTAAACAACACAACAACAACAACAACAACAACAACGTCCAAGCCTTAGTCTCAAAAGAGTTCAGGGTCGACTAAAAAGATAAAAAAGTCGAAAAGGTAAGATTAGATAAAAAAGATACATAGTATAAAAATATGAGATAAAAGATGAAATAGATAAGACAAAAAGTATCACCATATTGTCTAGAATTCCCTTATTTGTTACTGTATGTTTTAAAGCATTATGCTGTGTTTATGGAAGAAGAAGAAGAAGAAGAAGAAGGGAAAATCTGGGAAATAAACAACTAATGCTCTTTTGATATTCTATCTAAAGTAGCTATTTTAAAACAAATTTAAAATCCTAAGGTAGACACTAGGCAGTGATTAAAGAAATGAGATATATGTACTTACTTCTTCATAGGTTTCTCCTTTAGCCCTCAAAAGAACAAGAAATGCACTAATCAGAGCTTCGTCTGCACCATCCAACAGAAACTCAAGAGATTCTTCAGCTTCAGATTCAGTCAAGTCTTTTCTACTTATTAAAGCTTCAATCAACTTACACACAAAATCCAAAACCAAAGAAAGTAAATCAAGAATTACTCTACAAAGTACAAACTAACCCACATCAGGGGGGGGGGGGGGGGGGCAATCCAAGAAAGTAAATCAATATCTTTTTAGAACACTAAACAGATTTTGTAATGAAGGTCAAACCAAGCAACCATGGTACTAGTTTAAAAGATTAAAATTGGGATTTAATTTAAGAAAATCAGAACTAAAATATACATTAGTATTACTATTACCTGAGGAAAAAAGGTTATGGATGAATTGGGCGAGGCAGAGAAAGCAGCAGAGCAGGTCCTCCTAATCCGGGCACTGGAGGGTAAATCTGGAATGTGCTTATACCTGAACTTCAACTGGTGGGGAAAGATAGAGGTGCGGCTGAGAGATGATGATGGGAATGGGCATTGCGGTAGAGCCATCTCTCAATTCTGCACTTCTTTCTTTCTGACTTTTATTCTTTATTGCTCCATATAATAACAATAACTGCGGAAAATCTAAGTTTAGGAAAGTAATAAAGGAGGGAAGTGGGGGCCCACTTGGGGCTGCGATACAAATCTGGTCCGCCGGCCAGAACTAACTACAGCAAGGAAGGAAGTAAATGCGGATACGAGGTTTCGGTATGTTCCGATACAGCCGCGTGATACTTATGGAGTATTTTATTTACAAAAGAGGACAAAATAAATTTTATTAAAACATGATTCTCTTCCAAAAATAGAATCATATATGTTTTGTTTTACTGAAATAAAACTTATGGAGTATTTAATTATTTCTTATCATACCTTTACTGTCCCAAAGCTTTCGATATACAAAAATTCTTAGTAGATATATATCTTTAACTTATCGAAATTTTGGTTCGCTAAAAGTACGATATCAGTGAAAAACCATGTGGTACTGGAATTTCAATTCAACAAAGTATTCTATGGCCAAAGATTTATACAAATTCGATACTATTAGCAAGGAAAATTCTCAGGTCCAGCATCTCTCGGTCCGAACGCCGTCTGAACACCACCGTTTGGGGCGGTTCCCGGTAGAACTTTTTGATGATTTTTTTTGAGCATGTTTCTCATCAAGTCTAGTTTATACATACCAAATTTCAGCTCAAAATTCGATCGGGAAGGCAGTCAAATAATTCGTTGAAGTTAACTGCGTTTTTCTATGTATAGTTTGGCGCAGTTAAATTCAACGAATTATTTGTCTGTCTTCCTGATCGAATTTTGAGCTGAAATTTAGTATGGATAAACTAGACTGGATGAGGAACATGCTCAAAAAATTTCATTAAAAACTTCCGCCGGAAACCACCCCAAACGGCGATGTTCGGACGGCGTTCGGACAGAAAAGTGTTGGACAAGAGAATGACTCCTACTACTAGCAATATACTAAAACCATTATTTGGAAGGAAAAAAAAAAGAAAACCATTATTTGGAATGGGATTTCTTAAAAGTAAAAAAACTAAACCACCTTGAATATACTCCATTAAGCTCATTAATGATGATGACAAAATGTCAAGATCATCGATCATAAATCCATAATCACAAATTCATAACGTATTATAGATTTGCAAATCACAATGTAATGTATAGATTTGAGTCATTCATTCTTACTAGTTTTTTGGCTTATTTAAACAGAAGAATAATTCAGATTGATCTTTGTACGGGAAACAAGTTAACAACAATTAAATATGGCCATTTGTAGAAGGAAAACAACATTCATCATTCATGCACACTTTGATGTACATATTTTGTACACAAAATCGAAAAACATGTGCAAATCGATTCTATGCGATAGTTAGATCATACATAAATTGTGTTGATCACATGAAAAATTTCATCCGCCAATAGTGTAAATTACTCGCACTTAACGTTAATTTGGTCATCATACGCTATGTACTTTGGACACATACCTACATTTGCATGCATGAAACTGAATATATGTGACCAATACTTTATTGGTGACATTAGATTTTCTCTGCACATTTTTTTGCATGTTATCTAGTTTGACTTGTGATGTGATTTAAGAGTTTGCAAAAGTGTGTTGACATTCATGTAATTTCCATGTTTATGTTTGTGTTTTTAACTAGTTTAGATTGATTGTTACTTTGGAAATTACACACACTTTTGGTGTAATATTTTAGTTTGTAAAAATGTTTGTAATTTGTTTAGATTAGGTTCTTTTCTGAGCTCAAACAGGTCTAAGATCACTCTAGGGACCATTGGTGAAAATCACAAATGAAAGGAAGGTGCAAAAATTTCAAGACAAATTGAAGATTCTGATTTTTGGTGTTGTACCCGGTCGGGTATGACCTATACCCGATCGGGTAAGTCGCTGAAAAATCAAATCGAATCAACCAGGAAAGAAGGCAACATGGAGGGGAGATTTTGACCACGATCGAGTGTTCATAACCGATCGGGTGGCCAACATACCCGATCAGGTATGTCCCAGTTTTTTATACTTCCGCGAAGCAACCGAGTACCCGATCGAGTGCCCTACAGCCCGATCGGATACACGACCATGCAAGCCTAAAAAGCCTATAAATACACCTCATTTCCTCCTCATTAATTCACCAATTCACATATACTCTTAAACTCAGTTTAGAATAGCATTTCTTTATATTTTTCTAGCATGTTTAGTCTCCAAATGAGGAGCTAAACTTCCATTTCTTGGTTTTGCTCTTGAAGCTTGTTGATTATTAAGGTTGTGAGTTATTTTATTAACTTCTCTTCTGGAATATTAATTCTTTCTTTAATCTTATTCTATATTAATGTTGGGGTGTTGCTAAGTGACGATTAGTTAACGCTTCGACATTAATTATTACTAGAAACGATCAACGAACCGATGGTTAATCATTGATGGTTTCACAAGTAAGTAATTTCGGTTTATCAATGCACGGTCGTGGTTAATAGGCTTAAGAGGGATTAATTTTGTAGGTTAAACCGAAACCGTTGTGTTAAGGTTATCGATCTCAATTGATTTCATCAAGGAGTTAAAAAGATTAAATGCTACTATTAAATCGGTATAACACGTTGTTCTATATTTGATTAATAGTAAGGGTTATTAATGAACGGTCGTTGTTAATAACTACCCTCGATGAATTGGAGATACTCCTCGATTGAGTATTCGAGAGGGCATAAGTTATAGATATAACAAGGATCGACTAAAATATATCAACAAGTGGAAAGTAGCAAAGTCAAGTCCTTTTATTCTTGAATTAAAACACATATAGGTTGTTCATCTTAGTTTCTTATTAAATTAAATCATTCCAACAATCCCAAAACCCCCCTATTATTTACTATTTTCATTAAAAAGAAGAATTATTCCTTTCCCTGTGGATACGAACTCTACTTCACCTATAATACGTATAAGTGTTAGTATCGATTTATTTTGACGCACCGTGACAAAGTGCTCGTCAAATTTGACGCCGTTGCCGGGGAGAGGCAATTAATTTTTCTTTTTAATTTATTTCAAGAAAAATCAATATATATATATATATATATAGGGAAGAGTTCAAATAAAAAGACCTCTTCCCGTGCAAAGTGCGAAGATATGAACTTTTGCATGTTTCGCTTGCACTTTTGCGTGTTTCTGTTGCACTTTTTCGCGGTAACGAAAAAGTTCAACATATTTCCGAAATTGTCACCGCGATTTTGGTCGAATTTTATGCATTTTTGGCTCATTTTGAGCCATTAGATGTGGAAATGAGTGCATAAGATTTATTCTCACTTTGCATGGGAAGACCTCTTTGTATTTGAATCATCCCCTATATATATATATAGGGGATGATTCAAATACAAAGAGGTCTTCCCATGCAAAGTGAGAATTAATCTCGTGCGTTCATTTTGAGATCTAATGGCTCAAAAAGAGCCAAAAGTGAACTAAATTTGATCAAAAACGCGGTGGCAATTTCGTAATTAAACACGCAAAAGTGCAACGCGGTGAAGAAAAAGTGCAATTGTTCGCACTTTGCACAGGAGAACCTTTTTTTATTTGATCTCTTCCCTATATATATATATATATATATATATATTTCCTATATATATATATATATATAAAGATTTCTATTTTGCTGAGTTTTGTTTGAGTATATGGTAAGAACCCGATCCATAAACCAACTCACTCACCAAACAAACCCTGAAATAGAACAAGCTCTCGAGCGGTTGAAAAACAAATTCTCAAATACCAACTCGGGAGAATTCTCAAGTGCTAGTTCTCATTCTAGCGAGTCCGAAGATCCAATAACTATGACTCTTGAAACAAGAACGTTGAGGGAGCTCACAGCTCCTAATCTAAACCAACAACCCTTATGTATCATCTTCCCAACTCTTGATGCGGGTACTACATTTGAGTTGAAATCCGGACTCATACATCTACTTTCATCTTTCCACGGGCTAAGAGGAGAGGATCCAAATAAACGCCTCTCGGAGTTCCACATCGTTTGCACAAACATGTGTCCAAACGGTGTCACGAAGGAGCAAATAAAGTTGAGGGCCTTTCCATTCTCCCTCAAAGACACCGCTAAAGATTGGTTATTCTATCTTCCCTCGGGAAGCATAGATACTTGGGCAGCCATGAAGAAGTGCTTCCTCGAAAGGTATTATCCTGTCTGAGTCTCCTCATCCCTAAAGAAACAAATCAGCAATGTGGAGCAAAAAGATGATGAATCGTTCTACGAATTTTGGGAACGATTCAAGAAACTTTGTGCAAGCTATCCGTATCACGGCTATTCGGAGCAAGACCTCATCCTTTACTCTTATGATGGTCTTTGCGATGATGATAGACGGATGATTAATGCCGCATGTGGAGGAGGAATAGTCAACAAAACTCCTTCTCAAGCTAGGAATCTTATCTCGGAGTTGGCCGAAAATTGTAGACACTATGATCGGCGGTCAACAAAGAGAGTCATGGCAGCGGAATCCAACAACCCGTTGGAAAGTCAAGAGGCCGGCTTGACTTCTTTGGTTAAAGATTTCCTCTTAAATCCAAAAATCCAAGAAGTTAAGGTCTGCGGCATATGCTCTACACAAGGGCATCCCACCGATTCTTACCCAACGCTACAAGAGGAGAACTCCGAGTAAGTCAATGCTTTGGGGTTCCAAGGTCAAAGGAGGTACGATCCTCACGGCAACACTTACAATCCGGGATGGAGGGATCATCCAAATCTAAGGTACGGGAACTCTCAACCTCCTCAACAATTAAACCCTCCTCCTCAACAATATAAATAACAAGGCCAAACATCGAACTCGAACATGTCCACCGAAGACATGTTTCGAGCACTAGCCATGAACATGGCTACGATGCAACAAAGTGTGGCCCAATTTCAAGAAACAACAAAATCTAGCATCCACAACTTGGAAAACCAAATGAGCCAAATCTCAAATGTCGTGAGTAGGCTTGAAGCTAAGGATTCGGCAAAACTCCCAACTCAAATGGAGCCGAATCCAAGGCAACAAGCTCATGGAGTCACTTTGAGAAGTGGCAAAGAATTGGTTATGGCTAAGGCAAAAGCAAAAAGCCATGTTGGAGAAGAAGAGGAGGATATCTTGGTGCCAAGCACAAATCCTCAAAATGAAGAGGAAAAAGAGGAGGAGATCACACCTCAAAGAAAGTTCTCACCGCTCGATTCATACGAGCCGGTGCCACCTTTTCCGG